GTCGCATTCGACGCTTTCCTGCCCCGGTGTGATTGCTTGCTGCCGCTGAAGGACCGAGCCTGCTGGTCCTTATGTAGGCTGTTCCCGTCCAAGCTGTCGCGCCCTGGGAACTCTTCGCCAAAGAAGCCTTGCAGCTTGCGCAAGCCACCCCTATTCATGCTCGTCTTCGAGCCCGTACTGCTCGCCGTCGCGATGCTTGCCGCTGACGGGCGCCTGTCATAGCTGTAGTGGGCATCGGGTAGCTCATGGTGGCTGCCGGATGGTCTGCGGTGCGACGGCGAGGGTTGCCGTCCTGGCGAGACTTGCGAGGCAATGGACTGTCCATCGCTCGAATCGTGGTAGAAGCTCGATTGTCCGGTCTGGCCCGGTGTCGAGAATCCATTGCCATTGATGTTGTCAGGTGCACTGTTCGACATCCAGGGCGCAACCTCGGGGATGATGCCGCCTGTTGGGGGATTGTACTGGATTCTGGGTGCGCGTGTTGGCTCAGAGCTTGGAAGATCGCGTCGGGAGCCAGGGATGTCGCCAGTTGATCGAGAAGTCGTCGCAGTAGGGTGAGTCGAGTTGTCTGCCGCTCCTGAGGAGGGAGGGAATGTGGTCTGGATTGTCGTCGTAGGCGATAGCGGTTCTCCATGCGAATGTGCCCTAGATAGAAAAAGAAACGTGCGCCGTTAGCCGCCGCGCAACGTCGAGAGCCGGAGGGGCTTGCAGCTCGCAGCAGCTGCATTTGGACAATGGGCATTCTCACCTGTCTAGCGAAGGGCCGCCGCCATTGACGTCGAGCGGCTGGGGGGCATTGCCCTTGCGCGTCGTCGCGGTCGTCGACCTGGCTGTCGGTGTCCGTGTCGTCCGAGTGTCGTCAGCACTTCTCCTGATCCGTGTGGCAGCGTTGCCTGCGATGTTGGTTGTCGGAGAGCGGCTGCGCTGGTGCTGGGAGTCGCTCTCGCTCATCGTTCACCGTCTCTGAGAAAAGACACCCATGGGCTAGGCGAAGGCGAGGCGAGGCGAGACGAGACGAGGTTTCCCCGGTGATGTACTTGTTCGACGAGCGTGGCGTCTGGCAGATCTCGAGCTGCCAGAAGCATGGAGGGGCGGTCGCGTCTGAATCGGCGGGATGAGCTGGTGCAGCGGCTGCGCATGCGCGACAGACTGGCAGGCAGGGCGGTTGAAGACTGTTCAGTGAAAATGGGTTTCGGATCACATCTATTTGTGAGGCTCGAGGTACAGTCGTAATCGAAACAGGTCCTGTTGACACCAGAAGCGCCTATAATTACAAAGTCAAAGGTAAGGTAAGTGCTACGTAGAGAGCACAAAGTGCCTGGGTCAAGGGTGGCGTGACCAGGATCCGAGCTTCGCGGGCAGCTCCTGCTGCTATTAGTGCTGCTATGGAGAAGTGGACATATGGAGAATCTAACGTTACTAGCTACAAGGGTCTGGAGAAATCGACACACGGCTAGCCAAGCTCCCGTGGCTAACCCAGCGGGCGAGAGACTACGCTACAGACTTTGGCTACGTATTTGAGCATCTAACATACCTAGGATATCCCTTTGAGTCCAGTCTCTCGGCTCGACGGAGACGAGGCAGTCCGGGCGAGCCAGCGCGCAGCGAACAACGAGGGCAGCACGGATGGATGGATGGGTGGATGGATGGAATCATGGGTGTGCTCGCGCTACGAGGCTTGGGTGTGGGCGGACGTGTCACAACAATTGGCGCTCAACGGCGGCGGCTGCGGTCGAGTGGCTTGCAGTCCAAGGCGTTGTTGGTCCCGGGCATCTGTTGTTATTGATTATCGTGCGCAATCCGCCCAGGGATGGGTGATGCGACGGCGTGAATGCTCCTAACGCATCGACTCTTCGCCATCCGTGCCCGCATCCACGACGTATGTACCTTACCTCATGTGTCGCGCGATTGATTGAGTTGAGCTATGAGCCTTTGGACGAAAGACAATCACCAATTGCCCGCGCCGCCTCCAGCTGCCGCTAAAGCCTGTCAGCCACTTCCCCGTCATTGTGATATTAGGTTTATACCCGGGCCACGGGTCGACCGTTTGGGGAGATTGCTAGTTATTTTGGTGACTATCCGGCCTTACCTCGCAGGGATGAGCCGACTTGCATCACAGAAACACAGCAATGTCTCGTCCTTGTGTCATGGACATGATACATGATGGCTTCGCTGCATAGAGTGCGCTAGGATCACCCGAGACAAATGATGGAATTAATGATGTATCATGCTCGCGAAGATTCCAAAAGACGCCTTCTTATCACACGTCTGTTTGTGCCCACAGAGCAAACCGACTTGTCAATATGGTGCGGGCTCCCGGACAGTCCGCAATACGAGACCTTTGTTTAAGACTTGGGATTTATTTGGAAACAGAAAAGCACAAGGCTGATAAAATCATAATACAGTCTAGTACCTCAGTCTTTACTACCTCTTGTCTGGACCATAACCTCAACCACGGGCCACAAGCTGCAGGGTAGGTAGGTTGCTCGCGTTCTTGGAGCCGACGGAGTCTCCGCCCATTGAGAGTGAGGTTGCATTGATGACATAGGCCATCCGTAGATAGGCTGAGAAGATCCTTGTATTCCGCGAAGCTGAATTGAGATAGACTGCGCATCCTAATGGTCGAGTCGTCAAAGATCCGTCCCCATAGAGTCTTCCATTTACTACAAGATCAAGGGTTCAATGATCCGTGGCACGAGCTGGTCGGTCCGAGATGATCATCTTCCCCAATATTATTCCCCCCCTCCTCCAGCGAGTCAAGCGGCAAGCCCACCAAACAGTATCCATCATCCCCCCAAGAACATTGGAGACGAACAAAGTAGCGCAGGGCTACGCAGTACGCAGCCGCATCATTCATCGGTAAATTACCACTTTCGGAAACACTGCGTATCACTTCTGAGTCCTGCCATGACACTGCCTGCGGGGTTCTCTCTGTCATCGTGGGGCAGCCATGGCCCTATAAAGTTGCCGTGATTGCTTCGTGGCCGTCGTACCACGCTGGCACACGGAGAATTTCTCGGATACAGAGTTTCGCTGCGAGTATTTGAAGAGACCCGGTGCTCCTCTCGACTTCCGTCCTGGCACGACATTCATCGCACTCTTTGGAAAAGCAAGGACAACGCAAAGCACACGTACAATGGGCAGCACAGGGCATCAGCAGCTGAGGACGTGGTGGAAGGAGAGCTCGGTCTACCAGATCTACCCAGCCTCCTTCAAAGACTCGAATGGCTCCGGCACCGGTGATCTCAAGGGCATCATCTCCAAGGTCGACTACCTCCACAAGCTCGGGGTCGACATCGTATGGCTGTCCCCCATCTTTGAGAGCCCCCAGATCGACATGGGGTACGACATCAGCAACTACGAGGTCATCGACCCACCTTACGGCACCGTCGAAGACGTTGTGACGCTTAAGGATGCCCTGCATGCGCGTGGGATGAAGCTCGTCCTCGACCTGGTCGTCAACCACACCTCAGACCAGCACGAGTGGTTCAAGGAGTCGCGCAAGTCCAAGGACAACCCCTACCGTGACTGGTACATCTGGAAGGCCGCCCGCTACGACGACCAGGGCAACCGCATGCCTCCCACCAACTGGGACGCCCACTTCCAGGGCAGTGCGTGGGAGTGGGATGAGGCGACGCAGGAGTACTACCTGCACCTCTTCTGCAAGGAGCAGCCGGACCTGAACTGGGAGAACCCCGCGGTCCGGGCCAAGGTCCACGAGATCATGCGCTTCTGGCTCGACAAGGGCTGCGACGGCTTCCGGATCGACGTCATCAACTTCATCTCCAAGGACCAGTCCTTCCCCGACTCCAAGAAGCCCGTGCACAGGGGCTCCGAGTTCTACGCCTGCGGGCCCCGGCTGCACGAGTGGCTGCAGGACATTGGCAAGATCCTCCGCGAGTACGACGCCTTCAGCGTGGGCGAGATGCCCTGCGTGCACGACGAGGCGGAGCTGATCAAGGCCGTCCGCGCCGACCGCGGCGAGCTCAGCATGATCTTCCACTTTGAGCTCATGGACATTGACCACGGCAAGGAGGGCAAATACTCCTACCAAAAGTGGCCCCTCACCAAGCTCAAGGAGACGGTGACCAAGTGGCAGCGCTTCATGTACGACAATGACGGCTGGAACGCCCTGTACCTGGAGAACCACGACCAGCCTCGCGCGGTCAGCCGATTCGCCATTGACACGCCGGAGCTGAGAGCCTCCAGTGCCAAGATGATCGCCGCCTTCATGGGCTTCCAGGCCGGCACACCGTTCGTCTACCAGGGACAGGAGATTGGCATGGTCAACGTGCCCAAGGACTGGCCGATGGAGGAGTATCAAGATGTCGACTGCCTCAGTCACTGGAAGTACGTATACATACCGGATCGTGGCAAGTGATTCTTTTGCTAACATGTGGTAAACAGCCTCTACAAGGACAAGATTGACGAGGAAACCAAGAAAGAGTACCTGCGCAACTACCAGATGAAGTCCCGCGACAACGCCCGCACACCCATGCAGTGGGACGACTCGCCGCAGGCCGGCTTCACGTCCTCGTCCAAGCCGTGGATGCGGGTGCACGACAACTACAAGACCGTCAACGCGGCCGCACAAGTCGACGATCCCACGTCCGTATACCACTGCTGGCGCCAGGTCCTCGAGAAGAGGAAGGCCCACAAGGACATCTTCGTCTACGGCGACTTTGCCCTCGTGGACCAGCCCAACGAGAAAGTCTTTGCCTACAAGCGAATCGCCGCCGATGGACAGACGGCACTCGTCGTGTCCAACTTTACGGATGGCGAGGTCAAGTGGAGCGCGGGACAAGGGATCAAGGACCTGGTCATCAGCACGTCGGGACACAGCCTGGAAGACGTCAAGGGCGGCGACTTCACTTTGGCGCCGTGCTCGGCCATCGCCGTGCTGGTGTAGGAACAGTGAATCGTGAAGATAATAATGATTATGATAGACTGATTTGGGAATAGATCGAGGCTTCTCGAGAACCCCATTCCTGTAGCAAAATTAATGGCTCTAGTCGTTATGCCAGTATTTCCCCAACCATTTTCACAACTCCTCGTGCACCAGCTCCCCTAGCTGCTTGCTGTCCTCCATGATCTGTCGTGCCTCTTCCAGCGTGACAAGCATGTCATCGCTAATCAGCCGGACGGCCAATTCTGGCAGCAGCACTGACTGGATGAACGCGACAGCCCCTCGTCCTGAGATGACCTTGTCCACGAGTGCCCTCTCCCTCAGCACACTTTGGAACATAGGAACTAACTGATCGCCGAAGAGATTAAACCCTCTGGGACCGTAGTAGCCCGGATTCATGTTCTCCTCCTTCTTCATGACGCGATCGGCGCCCTTTGCAATCTTCTCAGCCCATACCCTGCGGTAGTGTGACGGCTCATCGTCCAGGATGACTTCGTGCAGAGGCTCATTGTAAGATGCGATGCGGTCTGGCAGCTCGTCCCAATTGATCTCAGGATATCCCTTGGCCGACCACTGTTCCAGGGCTGTTTCCCTCCGGTGCTTGCGGCAGAAGCGGGTTTGCTGATTGACGTTGAGTCGCTTTCCTTTCCCCTTGGAGAAGGATGCCAGCATCTGGGCGTCCACGGGCTCTTGGCACCACGGGCAAACCGTCGGCTTAGCCGCAGGTCTTACTGGCAGGGAGCTCGCTGAGCGTGGCTCCTCTTGCGAAGGGTTTGGTGTCGATTTTGAGGTGAGAGATATCGGTATCGGGCTATCTTCTCTCGCTGTGTTTGTCCCGGTGGGGGACGCCGTGAGTTCTGGTAGTGTAAATCTCCCCTTTGCTTTCGGCGTATCGTCCAAGTCGCTGTATGTGGTGACTCGGGGCGCTTCGCTAGGAGACGAGGGAATAATGTCATTAACCTTCTTGAAGCCCTCGCCTTGTACAGGCGACGAATCAAAGTCACCACCTATACTCGGAGCTCTGTGTGTTTTTGACTTGGCTTTTGCCGAGTCGGAGAGATCCAAGCCGTACGACTGGAATTTCGGGTTTTCCAGAGGAGGACTTCCTTTGCGGGCCGAGCCTGGATCTTGTCAGAGACGGCCTGGCGCCAGTAGGCCAAGAGCTTACCTTGCGAAGCCTGTGATAGCGATACACTCCCTTGCGAACTGCTGAGCTTTGTGGTCCCTGCCTGCCCAAATTTTCGTTCCATAGCAGTCAGTTTTCTCTCCTGGCTTGAGGGAGGGGCTTTCGCTTTCTGCGTCCCATAGGTTTTTATCGCCTTCTTCTGACCGTTGATCCGGTCCATGACCTCTTCTCCAAACACATTGCGTTTTACTGCGTTACTTTTCGGCGAGTCTCGCCTTGCACGCTTTGATCGTGGCTCAGGCGCCGGAGATGTCTCCTTTGATCGTTTCTGAACCCCTTTGCCTTTGCCCCCTTTGGCGCCGGTGTGATCTTGACCAGGGGGGCTTATCCTGGACCGCCTCTGTTCCTTGCCATTGGACTTCTGACCTGGCCTGGTAAAGTCCGTCTTGTGAATGTGACCCCGATCCGGTTCAGCGTCTTCTTCGTCCGAAAGGTCAGGCAGAGTTAGGCGAGGCTTTTGAGCATCCATCTTCTTCTTTGGGCGGATGGGTTCAGTCCCCCCATTAGAAACGCCTTCATCGAGCACTTTTGCTTTAGACTTTGACGAGGATGGTGCTTGAGTTCGCGAGGCTTGCAGCTGACGACGGAACCTTCCCATGCGGTCTTCCACATAGTCCGTCATATGGTCCTCGTCCCTGTCCTTGATTGTCCGCAGAAGCCTGGTGGGTTTCTGCGCTTTCGAAAGGCCGACTATGCGAGATGGCATATCTTGTGAGCTGAGGTCTTCATCAGGCACGCGGATCGGTGACTGAAAAGTCGATACCTGGCCAGAGTGAGATGTCGGAAAGGACGCCTGGATGACTTCTGATCACTCATGGATTCATAGTAGATCAGAACCAGTTCGAGGAGGTGATCATGCCGCGTGTCGGCAGCGCTGGGTTGTAACGAATGACAAACGATTTGGCGTATGAGGTTGAAGCTGCAGTGGGTTCACGCTCTCCTCGCTCAATCGAAGTTTCAGTCAGCAGCGTCGGTGTCACTGTGCACATTCACGCGTCAAACGGAGCGACTGCGTCTCTCAATGCTGGATTGTGACGCTAGCGATGTGGGCACTGGCAGCCTGGCACTGAACTGAACTGGCAGGAGCTCGGGTGGGTCCCTGCGTCAAGCCCCTTGCGCACTCGACGCTCGACGCTCGACCAACATCACCTCTTTGTTTGACATTCCGTCCTTGTACTGATATATAACGTGCCGCTGGGCGGCTAGCTGTTTTCTATTTCTCTACAACTGTCGAACATATTTCAGCACCTTCTCAGAGCAACCGAACAGCCATGGCGCGCGAACGCAAATATGCTGGCCTTCCAGATATGGTACGCGAGAACCGTACTTGCGTATTTACAGCTGCTGACCTCGCAGGATGATGGGCAAGATATATACGAGACAGCGGTGCCCGAGCTGACGGACGACACCTCAACAGTCCCCGTGCGTACATTGCATTTGACCGCCTCGGCGGCTGCTGACAGCCACTTCAGACAACTGCCAAAGGCGGCAATCACTCAGACGACGAATTCTACGATCTAGAAGACCCCGAGGACCCCATCTCTCGCTCCCGGCTCCGAATGAACGATGCCCTCTCGCGCTTTCAAACCTCCAATGTGAACACGGACAGCGTCGACTTCTCTGATCGCGTGGATCGAAAGCGTAAGTCATACAAAGTCTCGAGCCGCCGGCAGAAGGTACGGGCGAATGGGACGGTGGAATACGGAGACCTGTCAGATGAGGATGACGACGAGGAGGGCTTGGAGAGAAAGATCGCGCGGTTGAAGAGGGAGGTGGAGGAGGCAAAAGAGGAGCTCGCCAGAAGATCAACAGCAGCAGGAGCCGAGGATGGGGAAAAGGAGCCTACCAAGACGGGAGATGAAGAAAAGCCCACCATGCGACTCGAGTCCATGAGCGAGGTTCTTCAAGAGTTGTCCAGGTCTGCAGCTCAGCCTGGACCACTCCCAAAGGCGACCCCAGCTCCTGCGGGCCCAGCCGACGAGAGCGCAATGGGGACCAACGCCACATACACACTCACCTACGCGCCTACCTATGAGGAGAGCCATGCGCTCGCTAAAACAGCCGACTTTGACCGTCGCCTCTTGAGTCTGGAGAAGGGACTGGGGATCGCAAGCACAATCATGCCAGAGGTCGGCTCGGATGGTCTTCCGCGGGCGATCCTCCCTTCCCTTGACGTTATGGAAAAGCAGATTGCGACTCTGGCGCAAGCGTCTGGGCCCAACCTTCGCGCCATCACCGGCGAAGTCGAGGAGCTGGCAAAGAAACAAAAGGCACTCAACGACGCGAGGGACAAGGACAAATCCTCGGGCGAGGGCGGCAGACCTGCCGAGTCCGACGCCAAGATCAATGCTCTTTATGGTATCCTTCCGACAATCGAGAGCCTCTCACCGATGCTGCCGCCTCTACTGGACCGCCTGCGCTCCCTCAGAGCGATTCACGCGGACGCCGCGTCGGCCAGTGAGACTCTGGAGAGACTGGAGAAGGACCAGGCCGAGATGGCTGCGGAGCTGAAGCAGTGGAGGATCGGGTTAGAGAAAATGGAGGAAGCGATGAAGGGGGGTGACGAGACCGTCCAGGGGAATATGAAGGTGATGGAGGGTTGGGTCAAGGGGCTGGAGGAGAGGATGGACAAGTTGAAATAGACTGATTTTTAGATACCCATGCGACAATTTGCGTCTATGATTTCTTATTTGAGCGCATGTTGGCTGCACTCTTCCCAAGGTTGTTATGATTCCAGGCGTTGTTGAACATGGGGCCGGATGGTGCTCATTGAGGGGCACACGTGACTCGAGCTCCCAGCTTGAAATAAACGTTCCACTCCACCACCACTAAACTTTTCCTTCTCTTCTCTCTACACTCACAAGCTCTCAGCTCAGTAAAGCACCACCAAAAAGTAAGTCACACATTGCGCACTCCCTTGATCCCAATTGGAATGATGCTTCAAATAGCATGTATTACCTGAACACCTTTGATGTTTCAATTTATCACCAAGATCTCTGACCCAAGAACAACACCTACTTTTTGATTGCCGCCAACACCCTTATGGAACACGTTGCTAACGCGACGAAAAGATCACAGAACAGGATGTCATCGACACCACCGCCGGGTCACTTCCAGATCCTCTACTTCGCCCTGGCATCAAGCCTTACGGGCAAGGACGCCGAACCTCTACCCGCGCCTCTCCCGCTGTCACAGCTCTTCTCCAAACTGGAAGAGCTGTACCCTGGGATTAAGAGCCAGGTCCTCGAGTCGAGCCTCGTGACGGTCAATATGGAGTATGTAGATGTTCCGTCCCGCGGGGAAGAGGGAGAGGCGGTGCTCCAGGAGGGCGATGAGGTGGCCATTATCCCGCCTGTGAGTTCTGGGTGAAAAGAGGCTGATCAGTGCCTCGTTTTTTGCCCTATTCTCCCGCGCGCTCCCTGATGCTGGCTGTGACTATCTTTTGCCCCGCCCCTGTCATTGGTGATTGACTAGTAGAGGCTGCCTTGCATTATCCCGTCGTAATTTTTGCCTGCGCCGTGTAGACACAGCGTAGTTGCGCACGCGCATGGTCGCGACAATTGTGAGCGTCATGAGGATTGTAAACAGCAGTGTCCCGCCTATCGACGCGATGGCCGTCACGGTTGTGAAGCTCGACACGCTACATCCCAGTGGTTGCGTTCTGAGCTCCCACTGCTCGGACGCGGCGGGACAGACTTGCTCCTCATGCGCTGGGGCAAGGAACTGGATGTGATGTGAATTGGGCACGCACGACCATGTCTACTCATTTTGTGAGCTGATTGCGACCCGCGAGCCGTAGTAAAACTGGTTGTGGCAGACATACAAATGGACACCAGCTACAGTCGGGCACGTCAAGGCAGCTGTCGCAGCTTTGATGGAACCAGCATCGCAGGATGTGGTCCCTGCGGCTCTCGTCGCTTGTGAAGTTGTCTCTTAGTATGGCAATTGCATCGACAGACATGTTCTCTCAGATCACGAATGATCGGAAATGTCATGTGGATGCGGGTGACCAGGTGAAATCCTGTGATCGGTCCCTGGCGTTGCGAATGAACGGGCGAAGGCGGGGCTGGACAAAAGAGTATATGGCATATTTTGGCGACAGCCTTTTGCACTGAGTCCTCATGTAATTTTGTCACGTATTGCTCAACAACCAACCAGAGTCGTACTCAAAATGCAACCAACACCTTATGAATGCACTTGACAACGTAATGTAGGCCTGGCTGTGGCTCTTTTGAGAGTTTTATCGCATCTATAACAGTATTTCTCAGTAAGAAAGCAATCATTGACCGCGCCCATTCCGTGACAGTTCTTGATGACAGTTCTTGATAATACGTGTACTCGCTCCTCTCTGCAACACGTCCGTGACCCGAGTACTAAGTCACCTGCTGCTTCAGGATCAACGACCGTGATCTTTGCCTTGTCTCGCCCTGTCCAGTGCGTGTGTGTTTCGTATGAGCCCGAGTGGATCGAAGTGAACTAATGCCGACAAGAACTGACAAACGTGGACCCCCGTTTGTTCAAAAATCATGCCAGCGAGCTTCTCATCGCAAGTAGCTGCTACGGCAACGTGCATTCCTCGTAGGACATCCCGATCGCAGATGCCTCTAGCGTTCATTGTGGCAGTTGGGCGCCGGGAATATTGGGAGAGCGGGCGGCGTCCATATGCACGCGGACGTGGCGGCGATGCGGTCGTCTTTCGCTGGCTTGGTCTCGCTGTGCCAGTGGGATAGGGGCCTGAATCATGGCGAGCAATCTCCTGCGCCGCGAGGCTGACTTTGCCCATGGGCATTGCTCTCTGGCGTGGCATACCAAGCTGATTCCTGGGGTTGACTGTTCTGTGGTGCTCCCAATCAGCGAACCGGCGCATATCAGGTTCGTGAGTAGCCGAGGGGACGGCACCACGTGGGAGGTTGGCGGCTTTTTTTCCCAATGGCGCCTCCATCAGTCGTCCACCTTGACCCGTTTGACGCCCGGCTGACTTGTCCATGCGTCTGCTCCTCACAGCCTGACGATCTTGCTGGAGTTTGACAGGGTAGTGTTGATGTAGTATGTGATGGTCCTCTTTGGTGGGTTGTTCAACACATCCGCCGTTTTTGACGGGTGTCATTGAGGGCGGCACATCACTCTGAGCTTGCCTGTCCGTGGAGACAGGTGAACGTTGAGATCCTCCTCCTTTGCTACCACGGATGAGGCTGTGCTTCCGCGGAGGCACCACTGGCTGCCAGCGTTCCGTGCCTTTTGGACGGGCAACGTCGACTCCAGTGCTCGTGTCTGGCAGGCTTACACCTTGCTTTTGTCTCCCTGCGACAACTGACTCTGGTGTGCTGCCAGGATATGCCCACTACGATGGGCTGCTGAGCCGACATCGCGAGGAACAGGCGCGGCTCGTTCGCTGCAGTTGCCGTCCAGGCCAGTAGCACATGGGTTATGGAATGTCCCTAATTGATTCTGCCTTTGCTCTGGCCGCGTCTCACGTTCAGGAGAAGGCAGCTTCTTTCCATTTGGCAGCGGCCAGCCTTGGCTCTGATCTGGTGGCGTTGGAAAAGCCCTGAGAATAGACGATAGGCTAGAGGTGCTGCTTGTTGCTCCAGTGGATCGCGGCGACGAGCTGAGCGTATTGGCTTGTGATTTAGCTGGCGAAGGTGTGCCTTGATTGGAGGCGGAAAGGTTCGTCTCTTTGGATTTATAATCTCCATTCGCGCCCTCGTACGATCGGCTCGCTTTCGCCGGTGGACATGCGGAGCTGTCAGCTGTGGCCGAACTTCGATGGTGCCGCTTGAGGACGATGATTCGCGAGCGCGGCGGACTTTTCGTGAAAACAACTCTGCGTGCGGAGCCAGTGATTGGTAGCAGGGCGCGATGCAGCGCACCGTGAGATGTTGCTTCGGGAATAGATGGCAGAGAAGTCATCTTGGGAGGCTTCGGGGCGGCAGTGTTGTTCAAACGCCGATGTATCCAAGAAGGGTCCAGAACTATCACGAGTCAAAGCCCAGTGTGAGATGCATGGCGAACAAGCAAGGTCATCTGGACTGGGCGTGCTGTCCACCTTAGCTGTTCCTTCCAACCCATCGTGACTCCAAAGTCCAGATCCAGTCTATGACGTTGTGCGGCTTTCATGGCAGCAACGGCAAGAGCGACATGGAGCCTACAGAGCAAGTACAGCCAACAAAGCGATACGGACTGACTCCAGGTCCATGTCGTTTACAGCCTGGGCCAGTAGCTGGTGATGGGCTCCAGTCTCCAGCCTCGCACCTGATCCCCTGCTACCTCAGCGGACATCCTTGATACCCGGCGACGAGTACGCGTCCAGCTGTCGCTTGCCCTTGCGCAGCAGGTACTCGATTGCCCCAAAGTCGCGCTTGTCGAGGTTCAGACTCCGGGCAAACTCAGCTCGGGCGAATTTCTCAAAGTGAGCACGCGTCGCCTGCAGCGCGTTAGCAGCAAGCTCTCACTCTGATTTGAATCCGTCACATACCTCTGGCTTTTTCCGACTCTCGCGCAGACAGTGGCGGTAGAGGGCCAAAACCTCCTTCTGCAGACCAGAGAGACGCATCGCGAGAGGGTGTCACTGCGTCGGAGGTATTCTTGTCTTTTGTGGTTGAGATCCGAATGCGCCAATCAGTTCAGCAATCGCAGACAGTGAATTCAAGTCGAGCATGTTTCGGTGGGTTTCCGAACTGTCGCTGGCAATTTCACCGCGGTGCCGACCCGGCCAGCGACGAGGACTTCCATTGACCAATCAACAGCGCGTTTCTGTCCGGGCCATTGACTGCCGACGGTATCCGTGGAACGGATCATGCTCCGACAACGCATCAGCTTCATATCCGTCGTCATACATATAGTCGCTCTCATGCACTTGCCACATAGGTTCATCCACAGCAAGCACGCTTTCATCAGCGACATCTAGTTAGAAAAATGTCGAGGAACATTATGCCCTCATTTTCAGTCTGTCCACAACTCGCCCGACCACTGTGCCTGGAGTCCTGGACTGACAGTTCTCACAGCGCCTCGTCCGTTTCGTCGCCCGCGATGGCCAGACGTATTATGGCGATGCCATCCTCCCAGCCGGCACAACTGATATCTCCAAGGCTCGCCAAGCTCGCATAATTCAGGGCGATATTTTCCGCACACACCGTGTGACCGATGAAGTCACTGATATCCGCCTGCTGCTCTCACCCCTTGCTCTTTCAGAGACGGGCACGCTGCGCTGCTTGGGTCTGAATTACTCGCTGCACGCAAAGGAATCCAACATGCCGGAGCCCAAGTACCCAGTCCTCTTCTACAAGCCTCGCACGTCTTCCGCAGGCCCTAGCGACCCTATTCCCGTGAGCGCCATGGCACAGCAGCATGAGGGGCTGGACTACGAGTGTGAGCTGGTGATTGTCATCGGCAAGAGAGGTCGTGACATTTCCGAATCGGACGCTTTGAACTATCTCCTTGGCTACGCGATTGGCAACGACGTGTCGCACCGCGACTGGCAGATCAAGCTTGGGGGTGGCCAGTGGTCGCACGGCAAAGGCTTCGATGGCTGGGCTCCCTATGGTCCAGGCATCGTGAGCCCAAGTGTGATTCCCGACCCCCAAAAGCTCAGGGTCTGGACAAAGGTCAACGGGGAACTGAAGCAGGACGAGTCTACCGCTGACATGATTTTCGACGTTCGAAAGGCGATCGCCCTCCTGAGTCAGGGCGTGACGCTGATGCCGGGAGATTTGATCTTTACTGGAACGTGAGCGTCGTCCAGCCTTTTTGACCTTCTACAATGCTGATTGGACTGCAGACCATCTGGCGTAGGCATGGGCCAGAAACCAAAGCCTATCTGGCTGAAGGACGGGGATGTCGTCGAAGTCGGGCTGGAGAACGTCGGGACATGGTGAGACTTGTTCTGCTGCCGTAATGATGAATCACGCTAACCCCTTGCCCAAGCACGAACAAGGTCGAGTTTGCCCGCACCCAGGCAAAGCTGTAGATGTCAGAAGGTTAGTCGGGAGCGTTTGCACCAGGGGCTAGTGTTCAGTTCTCCCGTCGCCCTGGTGTTGACCCACGAAACAGGCCTTGGCAGGACGGGCATATCATGCCGGTCCAAGTGCAAGTAAAGTCTGAGACTCCAAAATCTCATTCAATGGATTGTTGGGATTTTTGATTCCAGGGTAATCTCGGGGTCTGCAAAGTCTTGTGCACTACGTACTGATGATTGACTCCCACGCCAGCGAGCTGAAGAAGTTATGCATGCCACGAGGCATCAGAACAGTCTCCGTGTGTACACTGTCAACAAAAATCCTTTTATTGGAATTTGTTTCGTGGTTCTACCAGCCTTCCATCTATGGTCTACCCATGTCATTTGGGTGGCGGCTGTGGTTAATCCCCAGCGTCCGTGACGGCACCAACTCAGCCTTGCTGGCCTTCTTGAGTCTGCAACCTTCTACGTATACAAACTTGAAGCAGAATTGAGCTTACTAAAATTGTTGGCTCCACGCCTGTTATGTACGTATGATGCCTTGGAGCGCTCACGTCCTCGCGGTCTGCCACTTGAGCACCATCGAACCTCGGGCATCAAAATGACAAGGGTTGCCAATGCCGCTTGATCTAGCCGGCGAAGATGTGCACAGCACATCTCCAAACTTCAAAGTCGCCACCTGCGTCGTCCTCATGCACTCTCGTCGCTGTATCTGTATCCGTATTGCGAGGCACGCTGTGGACAGGCCTCGCGAGATTCCCTGCGATCTTACCCCATTCGCCGACTGAGCCCTCAGGGGTCGCCGGCCTCCAATCGGGTCTCGGTGACCTGCTTTCTTCGTCGACGGAGGAGGCTCGATCTTCTGGCGCTGTTCACAGCCGCGCAGACGTTGCCACGTTGAGGAATCATGCCCGTATCCTTGAGACGCCAAATTTCCGGGCCAGCTTGCTCAGGACCAGGTACATAAATCGACCGGGTTGCTAATGCACATGCAGGCGAATTCATAATTTCAACTCATTACTTTCAACAGCGGTGACAGCACGTACGCCAAGATTTACAACGACAGGCGGTGGGCTTTCTTGAAACTTGATCGTCTCTGCGTTGTCTGCAAATTCAACATTTACTAATTAACGCCCCGCCGGTAGTTGTCCTGTTGTTTTCCATTTCCGTTGCCCTGGTATTGTGTATCGTCCCCCGTAATTATTATGTTATACTTGCTTGCTGTAATCCACATCCACCTCCGTCGTGACGGTGATGGGATGTCCAGGCGCCGATTTTCCCGTGCGCGGCCCGCTAGACACCTTTGTCTCGCCCCTGATGTGACTCAAGTCGGGCTTGAAGATGTTTTCCTCGCTCGAGTTGCCGATATCTGTGTAATCCAGGGAACGACGGCGCTTGGGGCGAGAGGTCATGTTCGAGCTTCCCCCGATGGTGGCGAGCGGGTGGCTGTTGTTGTTGTCGTTGGAGTACGGGGTCGCGCTGTTCCCCTTGCTTGAGGAGAGCCACCTGCTGCCCGAGAAGAGAGGCTTGATGGCCGCCGCGTTGGTGGCAACAATGCCCACAAACTGCAAAGCGTTAGCGTCCTTGTCCGGCTTTGATTGTTTCGGGGTTGTGCCATACCGTCTCTCTGATAGCCCAGATTGTGCTCACGTTGATCCCCTTGATGCTTTGGAGGGATAGGATGCACCGTAGCAGAGTCGCAATGATGATGAAGACGCCAGAGCACAGCAAGACTCCAATAGCAAGCTTGCGGCCGAGCGGCAACTGGACTTTCCACAGCAGCGGGACGGGGATAATGAGGATAGCAACGTCGGTGCTGCGAACAAGAGGGTCAGCGAGGTCTGGTGCCGAACAGCCAGAGGTGCAGCTACTTACACCACGTTGATGACGACAAGTGTGACATAGTTGGCGACACCTGTTGTGCAAGCATCTGGTCTTTGTCAGAAATGTCTCTTCTAGTTATAGTCATCTATATGTCCAACTTACCACCGGGATACGGCACGACCTGCCAGTTTCTGTGGACAGGAACACAGTGGCCCCAGATGGCGCCCAAGACGCCGGCGAAACCAAGGACGCAAGCGATTCCGGTCCATTTGACGAATTTTTGCTGCTTCAATCCTAGGCTAATCAAAAGTCAGTTCTTGTTTCCCGTACCAGCGGAGAAAAGGTCGCTAGATAATCTGGTGTACGTACGTGATACGGTTGTAGAAGCAGAGTACGCAGCCCTTGAGCGCCCAGATGAGGGACACATAAAAGTTCCAGCCCATAAGAAGGCACTTGGAGCCAAACTCAAAGCGAGCAATCTCCTTGTCGGTCAAGGTGACACTGATCTCGTCGTAGATGCCAATGTTGGTGCCATACTGGCCTGTTTGATAGCACACATGTCAGATTAGGTCTTCCAGGGCATTTTATCTTCTTCTTTGCACGTACCGATAAGTTCAAGCATACACAGTTCGAGCTGCGGGACGTAATGTCAGTGAGCATTCCGTGCATAAGACGGAAGAAGGGTGTTGGGCGTACCGTCCAGAAGACAAGGACCAGGAGTGCAAAGTAATCATCGCCCTGCCAGCCCTTGAATCCCACTGCTTTCCATCTTGCAAAGTATCTGAGGAAGAGGATCATGGTACCGATGCCATACTCAGTCCATGCCTCCGTCTGGAAAGGTGTGGCCCCCATGTTGGTCGAGTTGCTTGATGACCTAGTAGTCGAAGCAGAACTTATCCGCGTGTCGAGGTTGTTGGCAGGGTCTCGGCACGAGCAACGAGCAACTGCATAGATTTGAATGCCGAAGGTGAATTGAGCCGCGCAGTGGAGTTGGGGGTGACGAGGAATATGAATTTTCTAATACTACTGGGTACGGATACGTGAGGATTTAATCATTCAAAGAAAGGGGCCCTCGGTCGAGTCCAGCGAGCCAACCAGAGAATCATTACCCACCCGACCCCAAAGCCTCCTGGAAGCTAATGTACGTCCTAGCACTCCGTAGAATTAACATGGCTGGCATATTATTACAACCGTGCAAGACGCCGGACGAAAGGCTGACTTTGACAGCTGTTGACGAAGTCAAACGGCAGTCGGTTTCGAGTCAGGATGCCTGTCCCTACCCCGGTTCCGGTGATCCCCGTCACTCCCGCTGATTTAGTGTTGGCCAAGCTCCACTGTGCAGCGATCGACATTGCGACTGGAGAATGAGGCGTTCCATATCCTTGTCGGTGCGGTCCGTGGCTCTCCAGGAGGCCCACAACATGATAGGGAGTCCAGCCATTATTCGACAAGACGTCAAAGCCCCCCTGTCCGTCCCCAGTCCGTTGAGGCCTGTCAGGATTGTCACCACAGAAATAGTTAGGCTATTATATGCAGCCGAATGCTTGCAGCACGGTCGAATTGGTGACTCGCGCCGACCTGCTCAAATTATTACGTATCACTTTCGACAACAGGCGCGCGAAATGCTCCGTTGGCGTGGGACTCTCCTCATGCATTCGCGGGCTTCGAGTGCCGTACTTAGGCCAGCCATCAAATGTACATGTACTAGTCGTAAATTGAACATGTCACAGCCGAAAACCGTTATGAAACTGACATTGTGAGCCGCATAGCGAGCACGAGTCGACGACGTGCCAGTGGCGCGGTGGACTACTTGCTGGTGGCAGTGGTCCAATTATTACCTTCCGAGGCCGTACATACGTACTGCATGTTGACTTGCCGGGCTATTACTGTACATGTGTTTAATATGGGTTCAGTTGTTACATATTTCAGTGCCGGAGGGCATGTCTGCCGGTGTATCACGAGAAACGGTCGGCGTTAGACGCCTTGGGTGGACCAGAATGTGCGAGACTGACTGACTGCATGTGACCATCGCTGCAACTCGGGCAGGCAACTGTCCTGCCGGACAGGGTCCATTCCGCGGACCACAGTGGCGCTTCAGTTTGATTTCGGAGACGAGTCTGCCCATGGTCAGTGCTGTACTTGCATGTTCGGGCCCCGGGGGGGGGGGGGGGGGGGGGGGGGGGGGGAAAAAAAAAACAAAAACAAACACAAAAAAAAACAAAAAAAAAAAAAACAACAAAGCGTGGCAAACAGGGTCCAAG